ATAGGCTGAAACTTCATCACTAAGGCACCAAGAGCTCACTGACTGACAGAAGGGAGGTGTGGGGGGGCAATGGGGACAGTTGGCTCTGGACTGTGCTTCAGACTCCATGTGGGGAGGGGTGTCTGCGGCCCCTGCCTGGCCCTGGGGAAACCGCAGGTATGGCGCCCACCTCCTGTGCCCTTGGCCCCGGAGAGTGGCATGAGGTGCCCCGGAGGCTGCATGGCCTGGCTCTGGGCTGAGGGAAGGAGCGTGTGAAGGGCGCGTGGACTGATGTGATTGGGCACCACAAACCTGCCAAATCACTGATCAGTGGAAGACTCTGGCAACAAAGACACCAAACCATACGAACGGGACCCCCGGGGGGACTCTCGCTCTCTCTCTGTCTCTCTGTCTCTCCGTCTCTCTGTCTCTCCCTCTCTCCTTGGAGCAGAGGGCCACCTTGCTGCCAGATGGCTGGACCCCCTGCTACGGACACCTGGTGGTGACCTCTCTCCTTTCACCCTTTTCTCTTCCCCTCTTTTCCCTTTTCCTTGCACATTTGTTGCTGTCCAAATAACGTGATCTGACACTTGACTTAAAGAAAAAGACAAAAAAACCAACTAAAAAACCACCAACAAACTAACAACAGAAAACAAGACAATTATAAAACCAACTAAGCTGGCAGGTTGAAAAAATGAGTGCACGGGCAATTCAGTTGGTGGCAGGGGCAAATACCTTGGCCTGGGACCCGTGCAAAGCAGCTGAGAGCAGAAAGCAGTATTTAAATTTTGGAGTATATTTAAATTTGGAAGTGAATGAATATGGATTAAAGGGTCTGGCTTTTACTTCTGCAACAAAGAATTTGTATAATGACCTTATTCAGCTGCTTGATCTAACTTCTTAATCTAGTTTAGTTTTTTTCCCTCTTTTGTACATGCTCATCCCTCTGTGTGTGTTTGATACATAATATATTTGTGTGTCTCTGTATATAGTAAGAAAAACATGTATTTAGAAGCTGAAACTGTCAGAATTATGGTTTCCTGTTCACCCCAGCACAAAAGTGCTCATCTCACGTTTCCAGTCACAATCCATTAATCTTGTGCCTCCATATTATGAAGAAGCTCTAATTACGTGAGCCGAGATTTCCCGCACACCTCCCTGCCCCGTGCTCTTTTTCACCGCATACACTAGTACTACCAGTATTATTTTAGTTCCTTTTGCTGTGGCTTTAAGGGGTCTCAAAGGAGCCTCAATTCAAAGCACTGTCAGTGACCTATGTGGAAGATGAGGACCAGGCATGCTCACGGGCTAACACAGCTGAAGTTTGGGTATCTGACTTATCTCTAATTTATAGTAGAGTCACACACATCTGTATGGTGTGGTGTCTGTCCTGACAGTTCCTGGCTCACAGTGCCTGGCTGTGAAGGTGACCTGGAAGATGGGAAGAGTTGTGGTTCTCCTCATTGTCAGCCTTGGGGAAAAGGGGACCACCAGGAGCCAGAATCATTGCACTGGCAATAGTCAGCATTTGGGAGCGATCTTCCACAGATTTTGTCTCATCAGTAGTTTAGCTTCTCTCAACAGGCCCCCTGGGATGTGCAGTGGTTTTGTGGTGCTGATACCTTGTCACTGCTGCCTTCCACAGCCAGCAGTGTACTTATATTACACTCTCCAGATTAACAAAGTGCTGATTCCCTTTTTTCTTATCTTCTTTGCCTCTCAGTGAGACTATACCGCATCACCCTTCTTGCACTGTGCTCACCACGGAATTTTCTTTAAGCCAGGTTTTCCAGGCTGTTCAGAGCTCCACCTCAGCTCCACCTTTTTTAGAGTGGATTCCGGTTCATCGTTTATGTACATTCAGAGAAATGAAATAGCCCACTTCCACCTCACCTTGATGGTAGTTCTGGCTTTGAATTAACTTTTTAATTTCTACATCAGCTTTTTTTAGTTGTTATTTTTTTCCTTCTGCATTTCTCAGTGATAACAGCATTTATTGTACAAGGGAGCAAGCACCTTGTATGTCCCCTCAGATTGTGTTTGGGATGTGACTACTACATAACAGCGGACAGTGTCATACAATGAATGTAGTCAATAGTTATCTGGTAGAAATGAGAGACTGGGAAAGTTAGCAGTGTGGATCCACGGCAAATATCAATGATGTAGTTTTATGATTATTTGTATCATTGAGAAAATGTCACCAGAACTCTAATGTTACTACAATTGATTCAAAACAGACATCAGCTTGTAGCAATACCCTTTACTACTTGCATTAGACATGTCCACCTGATTTATGGTTACAATGAAAAAAATCACCATCATGTAAAAAAATCAGATGGCAACATGAGAGATCGCGTGACAATTGTGTGAAAATTGTGATGTGAATGGGGACTCACAATAGCCTTTCAAAGTCCAAATTTTATAATACAGACAAATAAATGAGGCAGACCAGGATGTGGACACAACATGATCTCTGAGCACTGCATGCGGATGGGATGTTTTATGAATAAGGAAATACTCCTTAAAAAGCCAAAAAGTTGAACGCGAAACCCACCAGGCAATCAGCACACAGGGAATCAGGCAGGAATTGCCTCTTCTAAATATTAGGCTTTCATGTGGAGCAATTTTATTTTTTGTATCATAAACCAGGAAATATTTTAATGCTTTCTGTTGAGCTATTCATTTCCACTAGACAGCCCCAAAGATTTATTCACTGACCCCAGCTGACAGAGATTAGTGGATCCAAACCATTTAACCAAGGTGCTCTGCTTCCTTCTGAGTCCCAGCTGTCCATGACTCACTAAGGATGGACTCTCTTTGCATAGGTGATTTGATAAATAATTAATAAACCTATAAAAAACTAAAAGCAGAACTAGGGAAGAGTCTATGTTTAAGAGAACTTTTTAGCAACAGGCATTTTACCTGTTCTATTCTCACCCTGAATAAATGCATATGTATAATCTACGAATACAAATAATCACTTGGCCTGAAAACAGGTCTAAGTAGTTTATTCCTGTAAACAATACTTATGACTTAAACATAGGTGTGCTTAAAGCCCTCAGCTGGGATTAGGCCGGTATTGTGCTGGCTGGCCAAAATACTTATGTTCTTATTTCAAATGAGGAAATTAAAAAGTGGGTGCAATAAAGAAAGTGAAAAAATGGAAAGTAGTGTGTAATGTTATGGGAAAACATGGTTCCTGAGCCCAGCTATGGGAGCAGGTATGCTTATTAAATGCTTTCTGTTTTTAGCGAATGTAGAAGAAATCAAATGTCAATAATCTATATTTGCTTCCCAGTGTGTGTCAGAGTTGGTAGGTTCTCCAGTGAAGTGAGTAAAATGTGTATAAAATTGAGTAACTCTGTACCCACAGATGAACAGGTTGTGCTTGTTTTGAACTTGTAAAAATAGATCCGGTCAACCAAATAGGTGATTTATAAAGAGAAAAACGCTACCAGGTATATTCTGTCATGTGAAAGCAATTGCACTAGCCAGTGGGAAGAATATAATGTGGCATGGCAGGCTTTAATTTACCTCTGGAATATATCTGGTACCCTCAGCATTTCCAGATCAGAAATGTTTTGTGATAAGGCTTTTCCCTTTCGGCACCACTTTTCAGCTAGGTATTCCCTTTAACCCTGATATTCTCCTTTACTTTTTCACGGTCTAAACACAACCCTAGAGCTCAGCAATTGTAAATTAAACTACCTGTGGCTTTCTGACCAACTTCACCTAAAAGTTTTTGTCTACACATGTAGATCTTTCAGAGTTAGCTTATTTCAATCCAGATGTAATCACTTAGTTCTTTAAAACAATTCTGTATGATGGACAGTCTTCAAAATGATGTTTGCTACCAAAAAGATCAAAATGTACCATCTATCTCAAATATTGTGGAGTCTTAGATATACTGTTGTGATATTTTCTAATAAATGTTCAATTGATAATCATGAATGATTTGTCTGTTTTATTCTCCCTGGATTTGTAATCCTTCACAAGTCTTTTTACCCAAAGTATTTGTTACAGGACCAATTTTTACCCTGCTGAAATTAATGTACACATCTGTTATCTTTGCTGAGAGTGTGAATTACCACAATTTTAAGCACTCTTGTTCTGTATTTAAAGATCAGCTAACCATTAGAGTTGTTAATAATAGTTTTTGAAGTGTTTATTATTTTCGCTACTGGGTCACATGTACCTACGCTTACAAACAAAAAAAGGATGAATTCAGTTCCAAAGCACACAGGGCTGGGGTTGCTGGAAGTCAGCGGTATTGCATACTTTTAGGCTAGACTCCAAATGGCTGCTTAGCTGAAACACCATCCTTTTATGTATTTTGTTATGGGTTGTTTCTTTGGCTGATACAGGAACTAAATTAAATACAACTGTTTATGTGACTATTCAGGTCATGGTTTTGCTTTCAAATTTGTAGGATGAAAAATGCATCAATAGGTCACTTTTATAATATCAATTTTTAAATTAAAACAGTGTACAGGAGACTGAACCATTGCAACTGAAGGTTATTAACTGTGCATTAGTTCAGATTTTAATATAACAAAAAATACTTAATAGTATTTCTACATTGAATTAGTGGAGCAAACTTCTGTTACGTTTAAATTAATCCTATTGTTTTTCACATGGTACCACTGAACACCTAAAGAATCATACCAGAGGTGTTATGAAGCAGATTGTTCCACTGATTTTGCCATATGGAGGTACTGTCAGGGAACTAGGTCTTCCTTAGCTCCAGTAATGAGAACAGCCTTCCTTGTTTCAGACCTTCACATTTTAAGTTTTAGTTCAGTAGGTTGTCTTAGACTTAGGAGTGCTAGTGACCTGTCATCAGCAAGGACTCCACTGAAGTGGAGGCCGCCTTTGTACTCACTGTCTCTTTGAACACTTTACTTCCTTTGAAGAGGGGGCAATTTTAACCTGTTCCTAAGAGCTTCTTTACAGTTTGTGAGCTCTAAATCCTCCTTGAAAAAAAAAATAAAACAAATTTAAAGAAATTACTGCCAAATTTCTCCAATGATCTGGAATTTTATTCCATCCATATACATGCATAGTAACAACATTTGTTGAGAAATTATTTCTATCAGAAGTAGAACATTATCTTTGTGATCACCAGTTGCAGTATTGCTACTCTTATATTTAAATATATCTTATATATGAATTAGATTCATAATTGCAGCATTGAGTTTAGGGTTTTGATTTAGACTGTGCCTTTCAAAAGATAAAACTGATTGATATGACCTCATTACTTACAATACTGCTTCCAGTAATTTTGTTCATTCTTTATAAAGTATTGCATTTAACAGCAAAGGTTTAAAAATTGAGACAGAGATGCATCAGCGAAAGAAAATACAAGTACTATACAAGAAAAAAATTGCCATCTTCATTTAACGTACGTTTCAGATTAAGAAAGTGGACAGAAACATACTGCTACATACAAATGCAAAGCCTAATGACTAAGGTACTGTATCTGCTAAAATATAAAGTGCAAACTGAGCCCAATTGTTCAAAAAAATTGAAATTTTAAGGCGAACTTTACAGCATAGTTGAAACTTCTTTGCAAGTTATATTTTAGCATATACACATATCTGCAACAGCATATAAGAAAAAAAAATCAGGATACACAAGTGCTTTTGAAGCTATTTCTAAAATGCTTTTCTGTATTGTTTGTGACTATTTTCTTTAAAATCTACTATACAGTGCAAACCATATGTGCTACACAATAACTATACAATAACATTACAAATGACTTTAATATAAAGTTTTTAAATAAAAAATAACATAACTACAGCTATGAATACTGCTGGTAAAATAAATTAATATTTTTGAAAATGGCACCAATAATACACTTTACTAATGGACTGTAATGAAATTACACCTTTAAGTCTTCAACTCAGCAATAGTGAAATCTCCTGATTGTCCAGATGTAATTCAAACAGATTTCTTTAGACTGTATGGAACAATATGCTAAACACAGGTACCAAAGGTGACCGATTGTTTCATTTGACATGTTCTGCTGCATGTGACGAGCAATAAAACTTCTTATGAGTTATAAAGTTTGAAAGATTGTTGAACTGGATGTCACACAGTCGGCAATACTTTCCACTGGTTGGGGCCTGGGTAGAACCATTTACGCCTTTAGCTATACTAGACAACTGTTCCTCTGCTGTAGGAATTGCTGGAGAGACATTTTCATTTGCAGTTAAGGGATTCTCAGAGATCCAAGACGGAGACTTGTGCCCATCGTCATGCGGAGGGTTCTGGGAAATGTTCTCTTGCCGTGGGTTTGCGGCAGGTTGTTCCTCCTGTTTTAGTCCTCCATTAACTATTACCATGCCTCGGTTTTTCGGCAATAATGGAAGAGACTCTTTCTTCTGCACAGCACATCCATTCGAAGGTGCCTGGCCTTTAGGAGATTCACTTTCTGTATTTGTGCTTTGATCTAAATCAGTATTATGAATAACGAGAGAACCAGAAATGTAATCACTTGGCTTTATTCCATAATATGGAGAAAGCTGATCTGCTCCTTTAGCTTTCTTTATTGCTCCAGGGTAAAGGCATTGTGGAAGAAACAAATGTTTGTTTTCTTCTTTTGTAGCAATAAGCTGGGCCGCTTCACTAAAGACTTTGAGTCCTTGAAGTGTTGCTAAGTGTGTGGAAAATAAGTTTCCATTAGGAGAGCACTGTTTCGAGTTTCCATTTTTCTCACATTTGATTATGCTTCTTTCGTAACTGACATCTGGGCTGTTTCTTTCACTTTCTGGGTTTTGAAACACCTTACTGTCAAGCTGTCCCAGGTCATTACGCTGATGGGCAGTGACAGGGCAAAAATTCTGCTTGTGAGCCAGGTAGTTCTCCACCTTGTTAAAACTGATCTTGCATACTGTGCACTCATGGTAGTCCAACAGCCTTTTGGGAGAAGTGGATGTCCTCTCTGACGGGGGTAAGCACTTCTTACTGAGATCTATTGGCACATCCATCTCCAAGCAAGACACGGTGGAGTGGGGAGTATCACACTTTGAAACTGGAACGCACTTGTTCATGGACAGTGACGTTTCCAGATGCTTCGAGACTATTCCTGGAAAGATATCACATCGTGGATGGTAACATTCTCCAAGGCCCTCTGTTGACTCTTGAGTTGATGTACAAGGATTGCCAAGATTAGCCACTTCCAGAAACCGCTGTTGAACTAGTGGTGGCCTCTGCTCTTGCTCTGGTAGGCACATCTCGTACATCTTCCTTCGCTTCCGAGTACGCATTGTTCTCTGCATGGCAGGCACTTTGTTGGAAGCGGACCTCTTCAGTGGGGGATCGTGGCGAGTGGCACAGTAATACTGCTTGTGGACCATGTATGTTTCATGTCTGCTGAAAGTAATATTACAAGCTTCACACGTGGTCTTGTTAGGATCACTCTCCCCTTCTACTAAAGGAGCATTGGGATTCTTCACATCAGAAGGTTTTCCATTTATCTTCTCATCACCATTACTTGCAGCTGACAACTTCTTAGATTGTGCTGTAAAGTCTTTTTCATGACTTTTATTGTTTGGCCCAATCAAATCTAATACATTGGAAGAGTTTATGCAAGACGTCTGCAGAAGTTGATTCTCTGGATCTGATGTGTGAGGAGCTGCATTCAGGATGTTTATAGAGCTTTGACCATTACTGGGACTTACAGCTTCTGGTATTTTTTCTGGAACACTGGAAAAATCTGGTGACTTTGCCATCTGCTGCCATCGGCTGCTGCAGTAATGCTTTTTGTGTACCAAGTAGTTGTCCAAATTATTGAATGTTATGTTACACTCAAAACATGTAGCCCCTTTGGGCATCAAAGGACTGTAAATTACAGGAGGATAATTGCTACTTCCATGCCTCAGTCTTCGATGGACCAGTTCGGACATTTTAGCTAATATCTCTGAAGCCTGAGGAACCACAGTGATGTCTTGAGGAAAAGCGAACTGTGAAAGAAAAGGTCCCATTGGGAAAGAAGGACCAATATTAGGCTGAACTGGTGATGAAGCAAGTCTTGGACTGGATGGTTCAGATTTTATTTTAGTGTATGAAAAACTCTGCTTATTTGTTGCAGGCTGGGTTTCTGGTCTCTGGTTTGGAAGGAAAAGTGGAGCCTTTTTTTCACATTTATCAAGCTCTGTATCAGAACTTGCATCTTTAGTCTGCATTGTCTTTTGGCTCTGGGGAACATCATTTCTGCTCAACAGATCCGTTGCTGGCTGTAAACCTTCTTCGTTTCCACTTGGAGAGTGTTCAATGTCACTTTCTCTCTGAATTTTGTTGCCAGAGACATGTAACTCTTGGTGCTGCAGTAGCTCCCTCTGAGTTTGGAAGCCAAAATGGCAGTGATTGCATCTAAAGGCAGCTTGAGTAAGATGTGAGAACAGGTGCTGATGAAAGTTAATCACTGAATCTGCAGTGTAAGTACAAACTGTGCATTTCAGACTAGCACCAGGCGGGAGAAATTCTTCCATTTTTACTCCTACAGAAAAGACAAGTAAAATACAAAACAAAGTGACCATTTTGCCCTTCATGAAGTATACTGGAAAATAAGTTGCAGAGAAGGTACAAGCACAGTGAGAACAACTAATTTTCTTCTGATGGGATGGTATCAGTCATTCTGAAAATACTTGAATTGGTTGAGAATTTATTTCCTCAAACTGCTAGGGGATAGTCCCAGACTTGTGCTCTGCTTTGGAGAGCCTTCATATCTGCATGCATTCAGCAGAGATGAAGGGAAAGAAAGAACAAGGGAAAGGATAAAAATAGACTGGGCTTGTTCTAAATGAAAAAGTCTTAGAAATTACAGTTTTAACTAAAGGAGACATAATGTTCCCCATACACAATCACTGTAAATTTTGAATGCACAGAAAGCACATCATGGTCAAGAGGCTCAAGGTTATGATATGGCTTGAGGCACAGCCCTCAAACTCAGAGTGCCTGAAAGCCACAGACAGAGCAGAAGTAGCATTTTGAGCATGACATGCTCAGCTCTTTGCCTGCATGAGTTGGCTGTAGTGTGGGAACAGGATACAGATTGATCCTCTTCAGAAAGGACTGACGAGTTACATTCATTGTGAAGGGAGGAGGAGGAGGAGTGAAGGGGGGAGGAGGAGGAGGAGGAGTAAGACATGGCTCACCACCATTTTATCTTCCACATATAATGGCCATAGGCAACTACTCTCTAACACAACACCTTTTCCTTATGAAATCACTACAGCTTTTCCCATCAAGAACACTACATTCAAAGAGATCCTACAATCACTGATGAAAAAAACAAACAAACAAAAATGATATTTTGAAACTAAAAATGCTTTAAAAAGAAGTAAAACCAAATTTCTTTAGTGCAACAATACAGATTCTGATTACCCGTTAGACAATAATAACTGAAAAAATAATGGTACGGACGCTATTCAGAATCTAAAATGGGTATTTGTTCTGTCTACACACACACACATATATATCATGCCTCGGTCAGGCAAACTAGGTTTGTGGGAGTTGGACAATATAAAGGAGTAATAATATTGTGGTTCAATCTGTGGGAATTTATTCCCTTGAACCTAGCGGCTCTCACTTCTCCCCCAGCATCAGTGACCCCCACAGCTGTGAGCAACATTTGAATGTGAACTATTCTCAGCCTCAGAGGCCAGAAGGGAGCTGAGGAGATACACAGCACTTCAATCAGTGCTTGTTCCCCGTCAGGCACTTTTTCACTGGGAGGCCACATGAAGCTTTAGCTCCTCCACTGTCATGAGATGGTGCTTCATATGCTTCCACACCATGTGACACAGTCACAGTGGAGGGTCTCTGAGGATGCTGCATTTCAGTTAGGGCTCCATGTGCCAGTGGTGTGTCTGCTACAGCCCCCAGCTGTACAAGCTGAAGAACAGTAAGTTGAAGCAAACACAGCAGTAGCTTACAGGGCAGTTAGAAAAGGAATGTTTCATTCCTACTGCAGGAGGTGCTATAACTTGTGATAATCTCTATAGAAAAATAAAGATTGACAGGATCTGAAAGAAAGCAAGAATGACTGAACTGACTGATTTATGACTAAAAAGAAGGGGAAGGCCTGAATTTTAGCCTCTGATCTAGGAAATACTTAAAGATTCTTATTGTAAATTCAGTAGGATCTCAGACCTATGTCTTTCAAGGAACATGGATGCTTATCTCTAGATGGCAAGAAGACATAGTCACTCACAGCTAATGGCTGAAAACCCTCTCAACACCTAAGCCAATGGTATGTCACTAAATGCAAAGAACTGAAGCTACCCTTTTACACAGTGGCTAAAAAGATTTAAGAATTCTCCTCTACTTGGGGAAAAATGAATTTGTTACCTTCCAAGAATACCTGGTTTTAATTACTAGGTTGTAAGACATGCTGGGCTGCATTCACTTACTCTTGTTGAGGCTTTTCTATTGTTCCACTGGTTCACTAAGCAGTGAAATATTTGCTAGACAAAAGACAGAAAATGGCAGTAGCCTGATATTCAAAGTTAAGATCTGGAAGCACAGAAAGATCTGACCTCTAAATGAATGGCTAAGTGTTGTCTGTGTTGTCTACATAAGTAAGTTGCTCACTCAGAACTCTTCTAGTCCTGTTCTGGGAGGTACCAAATTCCTCAAAGGCAACATGATGCCTTCTAGATTTGTAATTGCTGTCCAAGTATGAGAGGAACAATTTTCACTTCACCAAGTCATAGAATCATAGAATGTATTGGGTTGGAAGGGACCTTCAAAGGCCATCTAGTCCAATACCCCTGCAGTAAGCAGGGACATCTTTACTAGAGCAGGTTGCTCAGGGCCCCATCAGGCCTGACAGTGAATATCTCCAGGGACAGGGCCTCCACTAC